TAAAGTTGGTAAGGATTCCATTTTCTTTATTTATATTATCACTATCAAAACCTTCGAATGATAACTATCTTTATCTGGGTAAACCATCCTAGCCCAACCCAAAAGATTAGTTACATCAATGTATTTGGTTCCTAAACATGAAAATTTGCTCTTCCATTTGCTCTATTGCAGCATTCACTAAGCATGATATTCTTCTTACTGTTTTGAGTGCTGAATATTGCAGCAAGTATTTGATCATGACACGTTTTCAGCCGATGACATAATGGGAGAAGCCGAGATTGATATCCAACCGTTGATAACTTCTGCGATGGCTTTTGGAGACCCTGAAATGTTCGGAAACATGCAAATTGGAAAATGGCTGAAATCGCATGACAACGCCCTTCTGGAGGACAGCATCATTAACATTGTTGATGGGAAGGTGAGACAAGAGGTGTCATTGAAGCTCCAGAATGTTGAATCTGGTGATCTAGAACTAGATCTAGAGTGGCTGCCTCTGGACCAGTAAGTACATATTATTACTCTTCTGTTCTAGTGAGAAATCTGTAACATTCATTGGGTCACTCATTTCTTGTGGAATGGAACCTTACCCTTGCCTCCCTATAATTGTATTTATTCATTTTATTTAAAATATATATTTTTCATATTCTCATTTAATTTGAGAATAGAGATTGGCCCTTCCATGCTATTTCTTGAGATGCTTTAATCCCATATTAGTGTCTTCCAGTTGGAATTTTTGCATCTACTGCTCGTATAGTCGTTGAAGTGTCTGTGAAAAGATAGCGAATGCCCTCTTTTTCTTTTTTCACTTTGTTTTTCTGCAGGAAGAAAGTTAAAAAATTCAAGTGCAAAGACTTGAGAAACAAGGAATTGAAGAATATGTATGTCTCTCTTCACATATGAGATTGGGAAAATTGTTTTCGATTCTAGCTGTGTGATTAACAGGAAAGACAAGTAAAAGTCAATATGCGAATAGATCGTAGAACTCGAAGAGAGAAAAGATGCATATTCATCTCTCTACTCCCTCTCTCTCTCTCTCTCTCTCTGTTCATCTTCTTCTTCTCTAATGAGGCCAACAATGTTGCTACCACCCACCCTCCTCTTCAGTTTCTTACTAAATCAAGAAACAAAACCAACATCACTCCGACTCAACCCTCGTCTTGTAGCAGTTGGGTAATTAAGCCCATTCATGGAGGCAATGCCTCAGCCTTCTTTATCCATTTCCACTACCACCTCCTTCATTACAGAGAAGACCAGTGGGTAGCACCACCATTGTTAATGTGACATGTTAAGAAAGAAGCAAGAAGAAGAATATACTGTCAAGAGTCACTGTGGTTTTCTCTCATGGTAACCTCTTTATCTTGTGGTTCAACCATTAGCTTAAAAAAAAAACCCTAAACCACAAGAACACACAATGACTCTTCTTCTCCATCCCCATTCCCAATTTAAACATGGTAATTCCCCATTTTTCATTGCTATCATACCAGACTGAGCAACTTAAGTAGCATGTGATGTTCTCTAAATCTATATATATATATATATATACATATAGATTTATTCAAAAGTGTTTTTGGAGTCATTAGTGGTGAGTACTATTAGTGAATTTATTGTAGCTAGGGATGGGGACCAACAAATCCATGGCCTATACATACTGCCCTTAAACAAGTATCCAAGAAAGATTAAAGAAAAAGGAAAAATAAATTGACTACTCATATAAGAATATATACTTTCCACTACTTCAAATATACATATACACATACACTCTACACACACACACATATATATATATATAGATTTATTTATGTAGACCCACTTGTTGTTTTTTTTCTTCTTTTATTAAAAGAACATGTAGATGAAATTGATTCCTACCATCCCCATGATAATAAATTAAATCAATCATTAAATTTTAATATTTATTACAATTTCATCTCTAAATTTTATTTATTTATTTATTTCAATTTCCATTTCGTAATAAAAAATTAAAAAATATTTGGCTAATTAATTAATTAATTAATATAAATTACACAATTTTTTTATTGTTCATTAAAAAACTAAAATTTATTGAACAAACAAATTAATAAATATATATGCAAAAATTATTTTATATAATAAATATATTTTTAATTATCATTACATATATACATATATACATATATGTATATATACACACGCGCGCGCGTCGTTATTTAATGAAGCATAGACATGGGATAAATTTTTTCAAAGATGGGTAGGGACATAAAATATATATATATATATACTGTATATTTATATAGAATTTATTAAGTTATTTATGCTTATACAGGCATTTAATATGAAATTATTTAATTATTTGAAAACTTAATCCAACTTAAACTGAGCTGTATCAAACTATTCCACCAGCCGACAACGACTCATACAGTATCTGACCATTAAACCATTAAATATACCTCTTGCATGTTATATGTTCACCGCAATATATATATATACACACATATACATATACATATAGTGTTTGGGAGAATTAAATTAATTAATTAATTACCAAACAGAAAAGGAAGACACCAAATAAAAAAAAACAAAAGAAGACTTCAACATCCAAATAATTTTACAACAAAAAAACCCAGTGAGGCTATATACATATATATATATATATATATATAGAGAGAGAGAGAGATACATACATACATACATATATATATATATATTCTGAAAATATTAGAATTACAATAAAACTAAAAATCCCTCCTATTAATAATTAAACTCACTTTAATATTTACATTATACCCAAAAATGAAAAAAAAAAAAAGGAGAATTAAATTAATCAAGCACTGAAATTAATTAATTAATTAATTTTAAAAAAAAAAATTAGGCACTACTTGCCATTATCGATCATGCATGAAGGTGATAAAGAAGATGGCGATGGTGGTTTCTCCTTTTGGTATCTTAAAAGACAAATCAAAGCAGAAGCACCCAGTAATATCCCACCTGTCACGCCGCATACCAAGCTCGTCACCACCAAAACCTGCCGCACGCGATCGTTTTCTCCGCCGTTACCCCCGCGCCGGCCTCGGCCCCACCACCACGAGTCGTGGGAAGATGATGAGTTCATGGCCCTCGGCAGCGCCATGTCATCGGTCTCGGACGTAGAAGAACCGGAGGATGTGCCGAAGAAGGATAACATTTCCGGTGACTTCAGTCCCTCCGGCGGAGCCCCTTGGTACTCCAGCCCGTGATCGGACGGCCGTAGTTCTCTGGCGAATGATCCGGTGACGATCACGATCATCATCACGGTCGCGATCAACGGCGGAGATGATCTGGAGAAAGAAGTAGAAGCCATTTAATTTTTTCTTTCTTCTGTCAGGTACTATAT